TTTGATCATAAATTATTAAACAGAATTCAACAAATACTCTCGAACCTCCTCGTTATTTTTTGGTTAGATACATTGAGTGATGTCTTCTTTTAATGTTCTTTAGAATCTCCTAAAAACTTTTACTGGTGGAAGGTTGCAAAAAAAAAAAACTGATGATTAAAAAGCTGCCTTTGGAAGATTGGGGGCTAACTGCATAGTGATGGACCGGTGATTTAAGGTTATCAGCGGCAATGTTAGTTCTGCTTTCCAAGTTTGTTTCATTAAAGCGGTAATTGCAGTCGTTATAGGATTTACATTCAATCTCTCAGCATTTTTTTCCTTCCTAATTTTTTTTTGCTTATAATTGGTTTTTTATTTCTCAGATTTATAAAGCTGAAAATTGTTAGCAACTTTAAAATGTGGCTTCTTCTTTATGAAGTCAAAAATTTTTTTTGTTAAGGAGTGGAAAAAAAAGAACATTATCTTTGTAACTTTTTGTCTGAAAGCAGCTGATATGCGTCTGCTCTTCGTCAATGTAACCATTTTTGTCAACATTGGAGGATTTCCTTTGATCAGAATGTTTATGTAAATCAAAAATTAGATCCAAATAGAACAGAACTGAGAACAGAAACAGTTGTTTTGCGGTGCAGCATTGATAAATATGGAAATTGTTATTGTGTGATGAAAAATTTTATGATTTATTTGACTTTTGTTCACTTTTCTTTTTCTTTTGCTTAACTGATTTAATTGCAACATTTTATGGGCTATTTTTGCTTAATACAGGTCGTTTATTTTTGTATTAGTAACGTTTACAAAAGATTCTTTTTGTTCAATGATCTTCGCAAATAAACAACATTATGGTTCTAGAACAACATTGTTAAGTGATAGTAATTGGTGGAATGTTTGCACCGTCTTCTTTTTGCAAAAAACGGAAAAAAATAGTTTTCAATGTTGTGATTTTTTAAGTGTTTCCTTGTTCGTGTATCATGACTTGTAGCAGCTCCAGTGCTGAATTTCTCATCAGTACTTCAACTAATCTGCTATACTGAATAGTTCAAAACAGCTGAGATTTGTTTGGTAACTGATTTTGACAATTTATACAGTTTAGCTGATTGAAAAGTCTAAAATTATGTATGAATTTTGCTAAAATTTTGGCTTTCAATACTGTTGTAGTTCTTCTACTTATATTCCGTTACTTCACTTTTTATTCCGTTGAAATATTACAGCTTTTTCATTATTAGCGAACTCATTTCGTTATCCTCTTTCTTTTTTTTTTTTTTTTATATTATGGTTGTTGAAAATCGGATATGTTACTAATTTTATAGTTGTTGTCAAAGTGGTGAATACTGCTGACGTGAAAACTGTGAAACAATGCAGAATCATTGATGACACTTTTTTTTTTATATTTGCAGCTACAGAATATCAATCATCGATAGGTCGTTCAGTGAGCTTTATCGACTTCTGTTTGTTGTTCATCAGTTTGATCAATGGGCAAAAAGGTGAACATATGAAAATGTTGGTGATGAAGATGATGACTGTGGCAATGATTTTACAGGATTAGAACTGCAGAAAATGGCTGAACAAATTATTCGACCAATTCAGTTCATGTTCCTATGCGGTAAGTTTGTTCATCATTTTTCTTGACTAGTTTTCTGCTAAATTACTGACGTTAGTTGATGTTAGTTTAAGTTCTTTGATGACCATCATTGAAGAGAGAGCTGAAGGAAGGCAATGGGATCAGGTATGGATTTGATTACCGGTCAAATCATTTAGATAGTAATGAAAAAAATTTATGAAAAAACTGTGTAACTGCATGATACCGAGCAGCACTCAGGCTAAGAGAAAACAATTGCTCAAAAATTGCTTTTGTCTTCCGCTAAAAGCAGTGTTAATGTCTGGATTTACATTGCTGTCCTATCATTTTCTAAGTGATAAATATTCTTTATCTCCTCTATAAATACTGCCAATGAATTAATTTTTTTGAAGGAAGGGGGACATTAATGACTGGGGGTGTACAAAAATGAATAATACTGATTAATTGTAAGTGTTGTTTTTATAGGTTATATATCTGTTTGTGCTTTAGTTAAATCAAGTAAACGGCTATAGAACCTGTTTTTTTGATTCACATAAATCAATCTGTGTACAGAAGAGGAAAAATGTAACTGAATACGTTCAGTAGATGGCTTTTTTTCAATTGTTTTTTAGACTTTTTTTGTCTAAAAATTGGTTACTTTTGGTATGCAATGAATTTGATTTTTGGTTCCCAGAAACAAAAATAAGTAATAAAGCAAAGATCAATGGATCAGTCGGTTATCAAATGGTGATATGCGCTAATTTGGATGAAAAAAATAAATCTGTGACTAGGTGTATTTTGATGCCATAATTTAACTCTCTTTTTACAACATTCTAAAAAACTGTAATTATGTCGTTTATAAATTTTTTAGAGGACAATTTAAGATTTTTACATTTTTTTTCAACTTCACTCAGTTTGTTTCTGTTTTATGCTGCAAACTCACTTTAATTTTTGTAATTTAAATTGACAGTAATTTGGCTGATCAAACATTTCATATAAATTAAAAATTTTTAACAACATTACGTATGTGCTTATTGTGCCTTATATACTTCTTTTATTAGTTGGTTTTCCATCCTTATTGTTTTTTTCGTCTTATTGAATATGATATTTCTGGTCAAATTGTTTGGAGAATCCGCACAACAAATGCTTCAAAGGACAATTTGGTCATATTATCAATTGCAACTTTTGTTTTGTTTTCTATTGTGGTTTGCTTTTTTTTTTTTGCTTTTTATTGCTTTTATAGCAACATTTTTTTGAAAGCATAAAAAAAATGTGCTTTATTTATTTACTTTTTGGTTTCCTTCATCGTCTACTTTTTGGAAAGCTTTGTTGGAAAGTCAGAAAACTTCAAGTATTTTTTTTGTTTCTTTTAACATAACAGTGACAATATGTCAAAATATTTGACTTTTGTTTGGGATATGATATATTGATGATTATCAACTGTTTGTTGGTTGACAGCAAATTCTGTGCACTGATTTCTTAATATTAAGCAGTAGATATTACTTGAGAGATCTTTTTGTTGCTTTGTCTGTTGACTCGTCTGAGAATACTGGTCTGGTAGAGAAAATAGATTAATTTGTTACAATCAATTTTGATGCTTTTTCTCCCTATCCTAAACTAACATCAGTCAAGCACATAGTTTGATAAACATTTATAAGTGTGTGTTAACATTAAGTTATTCGACTAAACTACCTCATTTGTTCATCCGTCTGCTTGAACTTATAATAATTTTTCAGTAAACTTTTTGTTTTTTGACAATATTACTGTTAACTGACAAATAGTAATAAAGATTCGTCGGCTTAATTGACTTAGCTAATTCAAAATAAGTCTTTATCTCACTGATTGACTGCTAGAAATTATGATGGAAGCTGACTAAATCCGAAAGGACAGAAAAAGAAAAAAAAAAAACAAGAATTAGCTGTCCACATGAGACAGGAGTTTAGTTATTTTTCTTCTCATATGTCGCCTCTCTACAGGCGACAGCTAAAGGATAAGGAGGAGAAGAAGGATAAGATGGAAAAAAGAGCTCTTGTTCTCTTATTCTTTGTTCTAAAAATTTTCTTCGTTCTTTATCAAACCTAAATTTTCCTAAGAATCGGTTTAGACGTAATGCGATCAAAAAGTGACGCCATTTTTTTCTGTTGATGTTAGAATGGGAAGGTAGTTGAAGAAAGGGAAATTAGTCAGGAAGGGAAAAAGGAGGGTGTTTAAGCAAAAAAAAAAAACGAGATCAAAGAAGACAGAATATTTACTGGAAGCTGCCAACCATCTGACTGAATTCACCGGAGGTTGTTTTGTCATCTGTGCAATCAAAATACTTTTAAGATAACAAAAAAAAAGTGGAAAGAAAGAATGGATTGAAGAAGAGATAAAGTTGATAAAAAACGTGTTTTTTTTTTTGAGATGTTTTTTTGCTCAATTGACTTAGTAAACGGGGGAATGGAGGACTGGGTGAAAAGGGGGAAGAAAACAATCTCAGTGATTCGGCAGTGTTAAATTGCAGCGGTGGCGTTGAATGGTTTTCTCACGTCTTCTTATATATGCAATTTTTTATTTTTATTTTTTGGAAGGCGCAAATCCATAAAAATTTATTGATCAACTTCTGATGTTGTCCTCACAAATATATACTACCTGAAAAACTGCCGCTTTCTGCATAAGATGGTGGCTGTCGTAGACAACGGCATCTTAGATTTAGTGTTGCCATAACAGCTACTGCTGCTACTGTTGCTGTTGCTGTTACAGGTTATTGATACTACGATCGTTACTGCATTATCACTTTATTACTTGCCATTAATAATAGTATCAGTGCTGTTATTGTTATTGTTATCGTTAAATTCCAAAGTATCTTTTAAAAATATTACCATAGCAAGAGGAAGAAGAAAAAAGGCAGAAAAAATTATTTCTGTGGTCTTGTTGATGTTTTTTTTACTTAGACGTCAAATAATCGCTGATTGAGGCTGGCTGGAATAATCAGATGTATCTTTGCGCAACCACCTTACGGTGATATCGGTTTTGTTGGATGCAAGTTTTTTTTTCTTCTGTCTTCCAATTTTAGATTTTGAAGCCAAGAGAAAGAAGCAGGGGGAAAGCAACAACAACAACGACAACAATAACAGAAACTGAGGCGATGAAAACAGAAGAAAAATGGCATTTTTTTCTACTCCATTTCCAACAGCAATATGTGTTGATTTCCTGTATCTACAGCTTTATTCTCGGACTTTGTTAACCTTCTCTTTTTTTCTGCACACTTACTTGTTCAATAAATTTTTTCGTCAACATTTGGATTGTAGCAGTGGTCAAAAAGAAGCCAGACATCTGCTCAGGTTAATTATTTCCTTATTTCTTCATTTTATCTAATTTGATTTTTGCGGTTCTCCGCTCAGCCAGAGACTGAACGTCAGAAATTGAGCCACTTTTTTTTTGTTAATTCTGCCGGTAATATAATGCGATGGTAGTGATGACGGTGGTGATGGATATCGCTGTCAGTGGTAGTGCTGGTGAGGGCAATATTTTCTTTACAGGAAGATTAAAGGTTCTAGCGTTTTATTCTGAAGATTTGGTTAAAGGTGGAATTCCGGTTAAGTTAACCGGAAATTACCTGGTCGGCACAGAGAGCCGGTCGTTGGGTTGTGATCTGAGCGCAAAATATGCTTGTTTTAAAGTGCTCTGAAATTGAATTTTTCTTGTCATGGTGGTGATGGAGCTGTGGTTTTGGCCATCATCGTCATAGTCACCATCGTTGTCCTAACCATCAAAATTGGTTTCGCTCCTTTGTATTTTCACAACACTTTTTTCTTGACTTTTTTTTTCGTTTAACTGCGCTTTTCCTACTTTAGATATGCAAAACCTTAAGTCTTTATTGCCGTTGTTTTATTTCGTCTTTTTGTCAGTTTTTTTGCCTCAGCTTTTTCCTTATGGTTCTGCTTTTGCCTTTGTCTTTCTTTCTTCTTCCAGCTCTCTACTGGGAAATAGGAAAAACAGAAAGGCAAAGAAATGATTTGAGCAACAGACCTTATGGAGTTCTTTTCACTTTTTGTTCCTTTTACTTCTTGTCAAAAAAAGCAACTCTTTTCTCATGTCTTTTTAGCCTCTTTTCCTACTCCTCCTAAAAAAAGAAAAACATTGTCTCCCAAAAGATCGTTTTTACAACGTTTAGCCTGGAAACACTTTTTGACTGCAAAATCTTTCATAATCTACTTACATAAGTCTGAAAAACCTTGGTCCTTTCCTTTCAATCTCCTTTCTTCTGTCTGAAAGAAAAAAAGACATTGAATAAGATAAGGATCTTCGGTTCTTTTTTTACAGTCAATTAAAAGTAAAAGAAAGAGAAAAGAAAAAAATGTCTACTTTTCAAAATTATGTACATAATTTATAATACGTTCAAAGAGCTAAATGATAAATTTTTTTGGTTGCGCAATTTCTTGAAGAATCGTTTTGCATTCAAAAATGTTTGGTTGTAAAACAGAGTTATAAACTTGAACAATACTTTCAAAGTTTGTGTTATTGGAAAGAAATTATAGTAATGGAAGCAATAATAGTAATATTAATGAGAAAAAATTGGATAATAAACAACTGTAATAAAATTTGATTAAAAGGATCGGTTTTTTTTCTGTCTGATAAATTTAATGTTTAGAAGAAAATGAAAATTGGTGCTGTTTTTTTTTTTTTTGGCTGATAAATAACGAAGAAGGCCCAAGAAACTTTTGCCTTTTTTTATCGTCGGTTCTTTTTTTTTTTTTTATTTTGCTGTTTGTCCTTCTCTCATCAGGATTTTTGATAATCATTTTTTTCTTTCTTCTCTTTCTTTCGGTTAGTTTTGAGGAAAAGAAAGAATTGTAAAAGGAATGTACAATTTAGTTTTTTGAAGACTGAAAAGAATGAAGAAACAAACAAACAAATAAAGTATCATAAAAACTGGTCAACAGTTTATTTTATCAATATTTTTTGTTTGTTTTTTTAGACTAAATAATAAAAAAAGGAAAAAGCGGACGAAATCAGGGGAGGGGGGAGGGGGAGGGAGGAGAGAACGAAGGAGAAAGCACGAAAAAGAACGGATATATTTAATGCGATTATTGTTTGGTCGGTGTTCTGATATATTGCAAAATATGTAAAGGATTATAAACAGATAGGTCTTGTAGTTTAGAAAAGTTGGATAGAAAAGAAATAAAAAAAAGCTTTAAAAAGTGTCCACATATTTTTTTTTTCTTTCGTCGTTTGAACAATTTGCTGTTAAAGGAAAAAGTTTGCGTTCTTCAAAAAAATTTCATTTTCTTTTTACAACTGCCAAAGGAGGTATAGTTGTTGACGAATGTTTGTTGAACAATTAACAAATTTGGGATCTGTTCAGCTGCTGTTTCCGGTGATTGTTGTTTAGCTTAGCCATAAATACAGATGATCCATACGTTTGTAAAGTGGCTACAATGTCACTGAATTAGTAGTTGAAAGTGATTGTTGAAGCATTCTCTACGAGTATTGTTTAGACAACAACAAAATACCAGGATTTTCAGATTGTTAAAACAGCTTTATCATCTTTTTTTGTTCATTTATTTACAGTAGGATAGCTGTTCACTTAGTGCAACGGTGGTCAATTCTGCACAAAAAAAAGGCGAAAAAAGACAGTTATACTGTTACCGTTCAAATAGAACATTGTTCTGTATTAGTTAAGTAATATTTTGTTGATTTACTTTCCATTGTGCTCAACAGTGATTTTTCAGAAGAAATGTTTAGTGCATTTGATGTATAGCTGATGGAATTCCTATGTCAGTGTGTGTTATTATAGGAGAAAGAAATGG